GTTTGATTTTCTACTTCATAAATCATCACTTGTTTACATTTTCTTTTTGTACTGCTATATGTTCCACGTTATTGATGTCATCTTTCTAGTTCTTTTCTACTATATATCTTTCTACAAGGAACCCAAAGAGTTTTTTTTTTTTTTAATAAAGAAACAACTACTTACATTTCATTCCAACTATATTGTCATAATGTGCAAAATTCAACTGATTATTTAGGCGTATGAGTAAGGGTGGACTCATACTAACGAGAAAATGCCATTGTTTGTTTTACCAGTTTTTATTTTTCCGTTGCTTGTTATGCATCCTAGATTTTCATTCGTAAAGAACCACAACTATGGCTTGATTTCTACTTTTCTGGACAAGTTGGCTTTTTGAAGTCGAAAAGTATGTTTTCTCAACAATAATAGGTTAAAAGTTCACTGATAAGGAACAACTTTGATCAAACTATTAGTTGATCAAGAGTCGTAAACCACCCCAAAACTTCAAATTTTCTTCCAACCTAACTTCTTCAAAAATTCAAATGCAGTTACAGGAATCCGGATGTCACAAAAATTCCTTTCTCGTATTCTTTGTCCCAAAATAATTGTTCTGATTATTATACTTAAAATAGTACTAATATAAAAGATAGAAAATCATTTTTCAAGACAAATGAAATATTTACTTTCAGTGATGATCGAAAGTTATGTAACCTAAACCTGTGTGACTTCACGTGCATTGCTTCATGGTTGACTGTACGAGCGAGGCAGAGATGGAAGAGATCAAACACGGGAAAAAGTGACAGGATACTTCTAAAACTAAACTCTGTATATTCAAAATAACAGAAACTCCATCTGAAGTGTACAAGCACAACATCTCTTATCAAGGTACAAGTTTAAAACTTGAGGACCTGCTTTGGTTGACTGCCAAGCTTTCCAAGTGACTTGTCTAGGGCTGTGTGGAAATCGTCAAAATGGGAAAATGCTAAAGCCTGCGACGTCAACTCGCTCTATCTCATAGCCAATCCCAACGTGATATGATTCTTGGTCGCCGAAGCTAATGTATCTGGGGAGGTCAGTGCTTTTGGCATGAGATACATTTAGACAAGTCTTTTTTCACAAAACTTTCTATCGTACTTGCTTGTCATGAAGGGGTAGTAAAAGATCTCTAGCTAAGGCCAACCGAAAAAATCTGCAAGATAAGTTGCTGACTGAGACTTCACTAAGAAAGAAAAACGTTATTCATTCCTAATGTGACCTATAAGCAAGGATGATGAAACACTGCTGGTTGTTAACTGATAGCAAGAAATTCCATGCCCACCTTAAATATGAAAGATGCAGCGGATACAGTAATAGGTCTCTTCAACATTCCGCCATATGCAGTGGCAGAGCCAGGAAATTAATATTGGGGGTGCGAAATTTAGACAGAACTACTAATAACATTATGAAGTCAATGTAGGGGGTGCGAAAAATTATTTGACACATAGTTTCTATTAAAAATTTAAAGTATCCCTACTAAATACAAAAAATTGAACAGGTGCGACCGCATCCCTCCATCCCCCTAGCTCCGCCACTGGCCATATGTCACTACTTTTGCCCACCCTGTCTGAAATAGAAAGACATCACTTCGAGAGTAAAAATATAGTGCAAACAACTAAATAAACATTTTTTTAAGAAAATCATTCTCACCTCAAAAACTTTTTTTTGGAAAAGACCTCAAAAACTTGAGTACTAGTGAAGCAGCATTTCCACCAACGCAATTAAATCCCTAAGTAGGTTCAGGCAAATTGACCTATAGCAATCATAAATTTCAATGTTTCAAAGTTCTTCAAGGAAATTGCCACTTTGTGAAAATGGTTTGAAAGACACTTTTTTTTATGTAGAATTCTTCTAATTAAAACCCAACAAAAAAAAAAGAAAAGAATAATTTAACCACATCGGGTGTGGGGGAATTTCGACAGACCTGCTTATGAATGTGTTGATAAGAATTAAGAGCCCAAACTACGCCCATTGTATTGCGTTACATCAGGTGAATGTGTTAAGAATCCCACATTTATGGTGGGTTCAGATGAAACTGTTGGTAATTGCAGAGAGATCTGCAAGGCGTGCTGATCAGAGGCATTTTAAGTATTTCATAAATTATAATGATCGGGTTCTACAAAATATTTTGTTGTACAAAACCCTTATACAAGCTTTATCTTCGACGGAGAATTCATTCCAAGAATCTTTAAAATCTTTTTCTTTTCAAGAGGAAAGAAAAAAAAAAAAAAAAAAGAAAAAAAGTGGTGAGTTTGGAAGTCCAGCCTTTTTAGTCTGTCATAACTTAGGTTGTATTAATATAGCCAGCAGTCATTAAAATTTTTGTTGGGGGAATTTTATCTCCCGAAATCAACCGATCCGGCTTAATTTCAGATTAGTCAAAACAATGATTCCGGACATCAAGTCACGCATGAAACCTGAATATTGATGCGCGAACATAATACTAGTAAAATTAAAGTCAACCTCTACACATCCTATATGAGATTTGACTAGTGGACGACTAAAAGATTATTGATGGTAAGATGGTAACATTTGAAGGCTTTTGGTGATATTGCTAGCTAGGTCAATAGATTTTCCAAACAACATAATCTTTTGTGAAAGTTTAATGTGGAATAATTGAATCAAATTAAGTTGTTCAATTCTAGTAATTAAGACATAATCTTAGTCCTTCTGTCCCAAAATTATTATCCAATTTGGATTTTTTTTTTAACTTTTATTTGGTTCAATTTGTACTATAGATGAAAATCCAAACTAAACAATAAATTTTGAAACAGAGGGGATAGTATCTATTTTTCATCTAAAGAGAGATACAATACTTATACATTTATTATATTTTCAATTCAATATACAATGCACACAGAAATAATCAAAACCATATAATAGTAACACATTCCCTGAAGCTGCAAAGAGGAAATATGGAACATTGTACTAATATGATATTGGACATACAGTACAACTAACATCGTGTACAAGAATGGATAATTAAATTAGAACAATTTATGAAAGCACAAGCTAGCTCACTCTACAAAATTATCCTGATCTTTGATCTCTCTATTTCCATAAGCCAGAATAAAAAAGATGGCTATATCCATGCCGGTGGGCTTATGAAACAAGAACTTCTCCTACCCCAAGCAACCTTTCCACGCTTTCATTTATAAAGTTGTAAATTCCTCTACTCTTTTCAGTTTTCACTCCCTTTCTCAATCGCTACCCGAAAATCGTCATAGTCCAAGCGAACCCACTTAAAATCTTTACTGAACTATACCCGGCCCATCATATTAGCAAATAAACGTATTCGTGAGCTTAATGCGTGAAAACAATGAGAGATTAGCTCAAGGAGTACTAAAAATGGTGCTAACGGCAGTGGGACTCTTGCGGATAATAAAAAGTTTAAAAAATGAAGCCCCTATTTTTTTTGAAATCCCACTATAGTAATGCCAACTAAAAATGCAAAAAAATAAGCGATTACCCTTGATTAATCCACTCCTTTCTGCTGCCTCCACCACAGGGATAGAAATCGAAGCATTGCTCCCAACAAATATAGCATTGTCTCCCAGATTCGAAACCCTCTCCCTGTCACCTTTCTTCACTTTTATTTTGTATCTACGAAATTTGTTTTCGCAAGTTGAAGAAAGAGATATTTATTTACGGGTAAAAGGCATTTAAGTTGTATCAATTCCAAGATTTTTTCAAATTTTACTAAACAGGTGAAATCATTGAAGCTGGTTACTATAAATCAATAAGTGACTAATTCTATGATTGTGCACTTTTGCAAAAGAGTTGGTGGTCATTAACCACCGAATGTTTTCTTCGTATAATAATTCCCCCGTCCTGAAATTATTTTTCGGCTAAGATTTTTATTTCTAACACAAACTAAAAATAAAAATGAAAATTCAAATTGGACAATAATTTTGAGACAGAGGAAATACTATTTTTTGAGGGGTGGTAAAAATAAAACAACTCTTCTTTGTTTTTCCCATTTTCCTTCATTCGGTGCAAGAAGGCAAAGACCTAAATAGTACTACAATATTGTGTTCCGTATGATTTCTACAATAATGAATCAATACACGATCTCGGATCGTATGATAAAAAGAAGGAATAGATTTGTACACTGCTTGTATAAAATCTGTTATTCCTAGCCAATCTTATAGAAAACCCATCCAAACTTATGTCCCTTGTTGAACAGAGAGACAAAGAAAGTCTGTAAAAATACTGCACTTATTCAAAGCTTGTTAAGAACACGTGGCTAAATGTTCGAAATTATTTGTTTGTATAGCAAGGGACTTGGAAATTGGAATTTGGTGATTCTTTATTGATTGAAAACAATTTATTCGATTTTTTTATGGCCAAATTTATTGGTTTCAACTGGATAGAAACGTGTAACACTGTGAGAGAAAAATAAACGACAAAGGTTTTTTGTATTTTCTTGAAATGGGTAATCGAAACACCAGACCTTAGAAATAAGACAATTTTCGAAAATTTACTTCTTTTTTTTTTCCTTTGTTGCGACGGTGGCGGCATAACACTCTGAGTTTTGAGGAACAGCACTGCGGAGGTGAAGAAGATGAAAAATGCTTTTATTTTGGGCAATTTTATCCTTCACTCAAATTTTGTTCTGGATGCTAAATTTTATTTTGTCAGAACCACTTCCTTTTTTACGGATTTTTTAAAAATCCACCCCAATAAACCCCCCACTTAAATGTGAGAAATCCCCCTTACAACCCCTAGTAGGAATCGAACCCTGATCTATCACCAGAAAAGACACAACCTAGATAGAAAAGACAACAACCTAACCACTAGATTGTCATTCAATTCCCAGAACCACCTTTTTTAAAATACTAAAACCATAACTAAACCTCCATTGTATTTATCGGTTACGTTTCGTCAATTATAGTTTCTATAGTTATGAGTTATCACAGTGCAACTATCGAATAATATTTTCTCTTCCTTATATATCCATGTATTTATGATTTAACTTCATTTTCGCCAGGAAGTTACGTGGCTTTTCATTGATCTCATTCTTCTGGGTCTGGCTGTTTGGCCGATCAATGGCTGTTACTGATTTTTCCTCAAATAGAAAAGAAAAAAATTAAAAAAAAAAAAGAGAAAAGACTCTAGACATTTGATCAAATATTGGGAGAGGTAACCTCCGCAAGGAGAAAGAGAGACCAGCTATAGGGGCCATCTCACCCTAATCTATCCCTGAAAAGTGAAAACTATATCGATTGTAATTATAACACAACGTAGAATATGTAAGTAAAAAATAAAAAATAAAATAAAAAACAGATTTAATGCTTGAAATGGAAAAAATAAATAAATAAATAAAATCCACTTCCTCAGGCACTTGGACAGAAATAATCTCTTAAACGTTGTCATTGCTGCCTCTGAACTCCGCCATTGGAATGCAGATAAATCGAGACGGAAACAACACTGCAAAGAAAGAAAAGCCATCGAGTTTTAAGAGATTTCTTGTGATAAATTTCTCGAAAAGTGAAGGAGTTTACAGCAAGAGAACATGGATGGAGGATGTCTTACATGGAACCCAGCAAGAATGCAGTAGAGAATTGAAACCCGAAAAAAAGGAAAGACACAAATGCTGTCAACAGCATTGCAACTGATGTGGCATACACCTGGAGAAAAATGTTCAAGTTCACAAATCAAGCATTGAGAAAGTACACGCATAAAATACACCTAGCATTTATGACAATAAACATGACCGTCTTTGAGGACCTAATAGCACGGTTAGACTAACTAGCACAATGAGCGAAATTTAACCATCGGGTAAATTTGTCACGATACCAAAGCATAGCTCTGGAAGCTAATTTCTGCCCTGGCGATAACATCAACCTATAAATATAACTAAAACAGAATAATGGTCCCTCCCAATGCCAGGCAAGGTGGACTCATCCTCGTACAACCATCAATGCCAATTTCACCTCTGGCTAGCATTAGTTAGTTTCAGTTTCATGACAGTGAAGAAGGAGACAACATAATTACTTCTTTAATCAACAATCCAAGTATGCGACTAACACCCCCCTCCCCCTCTCCCTAAAAAAAATAAAAATAAAAAATAAAAAGTAGCTAAGCTACAATAACCCAATGGGGAAAAAAAAATGAACTAATTACACTTCAGTCACAAACCACAACCTCAGAAAGCGTACATCAGTTAGTAAGCCATTCCAATGCACAAAGGGATGCAGAAAGCAAGTGCTAACCTTCACAATATTGTCGGCATATTTCATGACCATTGATACAGCAATCCCACTGCACAGAGCAGAAAAGGATAACCAATATTAATAAGCTGTATCAACAATGATATGACAAATACAACCATTACTTTACAGAAATGACAAATCAGACCGAAGACCGAGAAAATTTAGGGTGAAATTTGATACCTCAGTGCATGGTTCAAAATCATGAGAACAGTAATCAGGGAATACCCATGAAAGAATCCCCTGCACAAGAGACAAATGCATAAACCATTGCACTTAAGAAGAATATCAATGTCAAACATCCAAAATAACTTAATTTATGGATGCCATCTTCCACTACTCTTCAATAAACATTAGTTGATGAATGAGAGATACATGAAAATATAAAAATTACTTCTCAACGACGGCGTCAAAATCTTGAACAAGTATTGCAACAACGTTGAAGATCATCCCAAACACATACAACCAGAAGTTTTGCACATTTATATTCCTAGAAGGTCGTTTTTTCATGATAGCCTGCCAAAAAGCAAAACATAGCTATTAACAGCTAGAAGTTTTTCAACTTACTTGGTTCTGATGATACTAATTTATAGCCATAAATAAACACTAATCTTAGGACGCTGTTCATTAACTCCGAAGAATCCCTTCATGAAATTCGTTATCTTTTCTGCAGTGAGCAGGAATAATTCTCCAAATAAGAATTACAAGACAAAATTAAAAGTATTTCTGTAACCAATAGAACAGTATAACCTCCGTGTATACTCCAGCAAAGCCACTAAATAGAGCCATGACCTGAAAATACACCCGAATTCAAACTAAGATGCATGGAACTTTCATCAAGCAAACAAAGAAAGGCATTCATTTATTGTTCAGAGTTAGCAACTTACGATTGCCATGAACCAACCTCGAAAAGGAGTTTGAAGGACACGGTCAGAACTGCACAAAATGAAATGTCACTCTGAGCAGAAGGTATATGGATGGAGAAAGAAAAAGAAGAAAAGAAAATACCGCCGAAAAAATGAACAAAACACACACACAAGTATACAATCGACAAAAGAGACGCGCGCGCACATTAACGTATAACCACAAAAAACACATACACACATGAGCACTAGTGATACTTTATAATCTTCTACATAGACAATCACAAAATAAATCAACTTCTTGGTTTGTTAACAGGTAGCATCATGGCAACTGAAAAGAGGGCTTAAACACTGCAAGATCAGAATGCTTAAAATAAAAACCTAATAGCACTTACCTCGGATCCAGTTGGGCAGTGGTGCAGCCTGCACACAATAAAATGAAGGCAGCCCATTGAATACTACTTAGCCTACAGAAACATATAAAAATAACTGAATCATGAGGCAGTACGAAAAGTTCAAATGATCAGCACTGAGAAAGACACGGGGAAAGAACATTTACAACACCAGACAGAAATAAAACAAGTGGCGTTGACCATATAGATTTACCTTCTTACTTTTAGCCTGAATTTCGAACTTACTTTATGCTAACCACACACTTACATCATGTGACTACTGCTAAAAGTCATATTAGTATTCGACGAATAAAAAGCCAAAACAATCGTTCAAATTTTGATAGAGGGGCTTACTTCTTTTTTAGAATAATGCGATAGAGTATGCCTGTGCTGATAATGTTCAGATTTTTCAGTATCTGATATCCTGGAGCATCAACATATTGGAAGATGTAATACTGCAAAATACAGGAAACTTTCAGTCGAAAGAAAAAACATAGAGCAGACAATATAGAGGCTTCAACACATGCTGAAATGAAATACTTTAAACCTGCCTGTAACAAATTCTTTACTAGGTAAAGAAATGCAGGAATTGGGTAAACAATGACTTCATCCAGCGTCGTACTTAACCTGGAAGAATGAATGTCACCTCAATAACAAAAGAATCAGAGAAATGATTAACCTTGTTGCTTAGGTTTCTCTACATGGAAAGTTTTAACAAAATGCTGGGAAATGAGATTCTCTCAAAAGAAATGACGATAAAATTCCTCCAGAAACTCAGCCATCCAATAATCAGGTTAGTATTGCCTCCGCCACAATTCTGGGCATGAAATCTTTTTATAAAAAGCTAGTCAAGTTGCTGTCAACTAAATAAGTTTTTGTTTTATTTTTTTCCATCAGGGAAAATAATAATAAAGAAAAATACACACGAAAATACTGAAGGAGTTCACTGAAGGTTATTATCTGTAGTTGCTCCTTAAATATTAATAACAAAAACAGGCCTGCAGAAATAAACCTGTTATCTTCAGTAACTCCTTCGCTTCTCCAGATTCTTGCCAGGGCTGCAAGGGATAATGCACACTTGAGAGCCTCTACCTAATTAAAAAGGATGAAGCGTCAAATCCCAGAAGGAAATAGAGACGGAAACCCCAACACCATAAATTGTAAGAAAGTAGGGAGAGAACCCAGCCCATTCTGGCCCGGGAGAAAGGGACACAATTATTTCACCAGAAAATTGGCAGTAGTAACACTGTACTCGTACTTGCCAGCTCTTTTGGACCACACAATTAGTATAGCTTGCGAACTTGTAAGGATAGTCAGCGCAGCAGTAACAATGGACCTGGTTCATCAATTATAGCCAAAGGTAAATACTTGATCGTGCAAACTAAGGTCTAAAGCAACAATTATAGGCCAGAGAAAGAGTAATTACTTGCGTTTCCACTTTGTTCCTTCCATGGTGAAGGGCCACGAGGTAATGAAACTGTTTACAATGCCTACAGATGGAAAATCGTGCATATTATCCCAAAGACGAATCAGTATCCACTTGCCAATTTAGCAGGTGAGAATAAACCAAAGTTGCAGAAACAGAAGGCTACCAGTTGATTTGTCACGTAAGCTTTCCTTATCTTCGTTTACTTCCAGATCAACGTCATCTTTGTCCTAATACGGTTATGATGTTGTGATGGTAAGCCATTTAAAATATTAAGGAGAAGCATAAATATATCAGAAAGAATGAAAAAGTCTTTTAAAAAAGAAAAAATAAAAGAAAGAAGCAGAAATACGATCAATTTAGCGCAGCAACTAAAAACCTACTTCATAACCTGTTTAAGAAACTTCTTAGCCGAATTATTTCAAAGTGCATGAATTACGTAATCTAATAAAAATCAATAAAAACTCAGGAATCCTGAGCACGAGATGCGGATGCGCAAAATCAAGTTCGAATCAAGTAAAACTAACACTGCCGCATCACCTCACTACCTCACTAGAAGAAGCCTAAATCTCGATTAACTAATAACAAAGCAAGCAAAAGACAGCAAACAAAACAATAATGCAGGTAGGCAGAAAGACGAAGAAAAGAGTTGAAATCAAGGGCTCTGCTCGTTCATTCGATTACCTCGTCCTTGATTCTTCTATATTCCATTTTCTTAGTCGGCCGAACTGCTGTTCCTCCTCAGTTGGGGCCGGTGATCAGAACTCCAGCGACGAAATCAAATCACACCACAGCAACTGTGAAGGCGGATGATGAAAGGAAGTACCCACCCGGGTCGGGTATAAAATTCACTTCGTCGAGTCCAATTGTCAAATTACACTGACTAGGACTTCGAAAATATCAATTTGATCCAAAACTTTCATCCCCTGATCAATTTAATCCAAAATAATTCTCAGAATATAATTTTATCTGCAAATTCCACTTAAGGGTAAATTAACATATGGGAGTGCAAAACCAATTAAAAATGTTCTTGTAAGGTTAGGGTTTAAACTCGCTATGAGATCCTTTGTACCACTTTTTTTTTATAACACTTTATGATATACAATTTAATTACTTGTATAAATTTTATCATTTGTGTTAATATTTACAATATTTATTTACAACCACTTTCAAAGTTATGTACTACCTTGATTTCAACTCTTTTCTTCGTCTTTCTGCCTACCTGCATTATTGTTTTGTTTGCTGTCTTTTGCTTGCTTTGTTATTAGTTAATCGAGATTTAGGTTTCTTCTAGTGAGGTAGTGAGGTAATGCGGCAGTGCTAGTTTTACTTGATTCGAACTTGATTTTGCGCATCCGCACCTAGTGCTCAGGGTTCCTGAGTTTTTATTGATTTTTATTAGATTATGTAATTCATGCACTTTGAAATAATTCGGCTAAGAAGTTTCTTAAACAGGTTATGAAGTAGGTTTTTAGTTGCTGCGCTAAATTGATCGTAGGTCAAAAACTCCACATTCATCCTCCATTGAACTATCTTCATGGACACTAGCCACAATATCCTTAAATAATTTGACCTTTGTAGACTCATCATTTTCACCTGGATAATCCACTAATTGACTGACATTCATCTTATTGTGATAATATGGGAAGAGGAACTACGATGTTGCGCACCTGTTGAGAGAAGAATTGCAGCCCCTTCTTGCTTCGGATTCTGAATACGATATGAAATAGGTTTACGTAGTATTGTAGGGTTTTTTTTAGAAAAAGTTCTCTAAATTAATAATTTATTAATTTATCGATTAATAATTCGCTAAATTAATAAAATTTTGTGGTTCCAATTCTATTAATTTATAGAAGTTTTACTGTAGTTGAATTATTGGATACAAAGCGGATGAGTAATAAATTAATGATGTTGATGATGCAAGATTTTCATTTAGAATGGGGAAAGAGAACCAAACATTAGAAAAAGGAAGACCATCAAAATGTGAGCATCATTATATGAATAATTTTATGATTTCGAAACATAGAACGCATAAAATTTAGAAGTAAAAACGTAGATATGAACAATTCTCTTTTTTTTTTTAATTCACATTATTCCGATCCATTTTCCTCTGACCAGTGGTAACTATAAGAACATTGGCCGGTAACTAAATTTTTTTTTTTTGGGGGTTATTTTTCATTCTTTTTGTTACACCTTTTGTATTTAGATTGAAAATCAAGAAAGACAAAGACAGCCCATATGTTGTATTAAAGAAAAGACAATGCTAGAAACAAAAGAGACTGTTAAATGAAAAGAGTACCAGAGGTAAAATGTTTGACTACAAAGCCAATTAGATTCAAACAAAAGAAAGCAAAAGGGACAACTTCCCGAAGTAATCACCAATTAGGAAACATTGCAGCATAAAGCTTCCAGTTTGACAAAACAAAAGGAGGTCAATTTCCTAAACCCACAAAATACTTACTAGAAAGAAAGCTCTTGCTACAATAAAACCATACTGCTAAATGATTGTACCATGTGCTATAAAACTTGTACCCAAAAATTTTTAAGAACATGGTCAATCATCTAGCCTATCAAATCTGAAAATCTCTTTCCTTGTGACCTGATCAAAGATTCAAGAGCTTTCTTGTTCACATTTTCCTAAGTTAGAGCTACAAATAGCATAGATATCATAAAACCTAAAACTTCAAAAGCCAAAAGGGATCCTTGTCCTAATCAAAAACCATCATCCATCCATGGAAGAAGCTAAACTAGTTGATGAAAATGATGTTATCACCCTTCTGCTTCATGATCTTGCCTACAGTAATAGGCAAACGACTGTTGATTGCTGAGCCATTTCTTGGTGGGTGAAAAACCACAGGCAGATACTCACGGTTGTCACAAACAAACTTCGAATTCGAGAAATGCTTCACCAATGCTTTTTTCCCCTGTTCCATAATCATTAATAATACGTAGTATCATTATTGTGTAACACTGAGTAATTATGAACAATGTAGTTTATTATGTACTCCCCCGTCCCAAAATTATTGTCCAGTTTGAGATTTTACTTTTAGTACAAATTGAACTAAAAATGAAAATCTAAACTGGAAGATAATTATGGGACGGAAGGAGTATATATCAAGGTTTTGATTTTTTTTTACCTGGATAGCAGCCCAAGAGACTTCACAGATTTTGTTTGACAGAATTGTCATGTCAAAAATTTTGTTGCCATACCATACAAAGCCTTCCAGCAAATCCATGATCTTGATGGCTGCTTTTGGTGTTGTGAAGTTCACAAAAGCGTAACCAAGGTTATCATGCCTCCTGTAACAATAATTAAACCGTAAATAATTTGATCAATCCAAGATGGAAAAAAAAAAGGGACTGCTTAAAATCGATTTACTTAATCATTACCTGAAGTCCATGGGGAGGTAGAAGAAATCATAGGCCAGGTTATGGTTCTGGCAGTAAACATCAAGGAATTGCATCAAGCTGTTCCTCCTGGAATTTAATTCACTTACTATATTTAGAGAAAATCTACTTATTATGGTAACAGTCAAATCCATTAAATGCATAAATAACGATTTAATGCAACTCAAATCCAGAAACAAAAAAAAAAGTGTACACATTAAATGATGATTCACATTTAGGCAACAATTCATTACTAGTACAAATTATTGTCATGTTCATCATTCAGTAACAATATTTTCTTATTTTTCTTAGACAAAAAAATAAAAATAAAAAATTCCGACAGCGTATCTGGTATAATAAATGCATGGAGATTGAAAGGAGAGAGAGTCTGTTTTGCAGCTTGTACACGAATTCATGTAACTTTTTTTTGGGTCATTCAGAGTGCAGACTGTTGTTTGATTGATTTTAATAAAAAAAAAAAAGAAAAAAAAAGAAAAATGAGAAAGTTGGAATAGGTATTTCCAATCTCAAAGCTCTTTTTTTCAGTCTCACTGCCACAAAGTTTTGATAAGAATCAGAGGAAAAGAAGACTTAGATTCCAAAACCTTAACTTAAAACAGAGGAGAAAGTACCATTTCAGTGATACCTGGGGGAGACTTAGAAACACATCTGTCTTGATGACACACATCAATTTACCCTATTTGTGTCACTTCAAGTCTCTCAAATATATATACATATATACATTTATCATATCATTCTTTTATTATTATTGTTTTTTTACATTTAAAGCATCAAAATCAGATATGTTTTAGCTCCATCATCCAAGGTTGCATGTGATTTCTGGTTATGTTCTGCTTCAAAAATTCTTTGTTTCAAAAAATAAAAATGCTACCAAACAAATAAAGGAAAAAGATGTACAAGTAGTTTTTTTTCCAGAAACAGGGCAAACACCAAAAGAAAAGCATAAAAGGAAGCTGAAAATCTAACCAAACAACCAAAAAGTGCACTCACTTTGGACAGAACATATGCAGAAAATGTTTATCATCTTGCTTCAACAACAGTTAGCTGGCCTTTACGTAGTCAGATCATTTTACAAAAAAAAAAAAAAGGAAAAAAAAATCATGTTTAATCCAGAAACAGAGATACTCAGAGAAGACATACTTGTACTTGTTAGGGATGTTGCGGATCATCACTGTTGTTTTCTTACAGCTTCGAAAATTCACCATGGAAGAAGAAGAAGATCTTGTAGGAAAGTTTGGAGGTGGTGGAGAGAAAATCAGAGGAGACCCATAATCAGCAGAATCAATACTGACTCCATAATCACCATCTTCTGCAAGCTGATGATCAGTTTTCTTCTTAGGCATCCATTGCTTCTGCAGGATGACATTCTTGCTTCTCCCCTGAAACCTTTCCATATTCTGGTGGTGATTCTTCTGAAGCCTTGGAGGCACAAAAACTTTCCTCCTTCGCCAAATCCTTGGAAATGGTTTCTTCTCAGCGACTTTCTCCTCATCATATGGCATTTCCATGAAATCCCCTGAACTGGATGACAACAGAGGAAGCATAACTGGATGAGGTGCTGATGTATTGGGAGGCAAAATCACCACAGTACGTTGATGAGGATAAGCCTGTGGAACAAGATTAAACGAGCCCGGATCAACACTGCACAAGCTGGGATGGCCATTGGTGAAAACAACCTGATGGTAATGAAGAACAGAGCTTCTTGGTATGGGTGGTGTCAGAGGAAACAGAGGTTGATGATGAAGAACAGTGACTGAAGTTGCAGGGGAAAGGGGAAGAACTGGTGGGGATGTGGGAGAAGCAATGTAAAAATTCGCCATTTTGTTGGGTTGGTAAAGAGGAGGAGGAGGGATTTGAGTTATTTCTGCATCAGAAGATTGGGTCCAAGATTCTGCTTGAGGGTTCAGAGTTGGTGAAGCAGAAGAGGCTGTCGGATGAGGAGGAAGCATGTTGTTCTATAATGAAGCAGTAAAAACAGAGTGGATAAATGGCGCAAGTATTACACTACTACTATTATATATCCACAACCCAATGAACCCTAAACCCTACTCATTCTTATACTACTAGTACTCCCTCCGTCCCATAATTATTGTCCAGTTTGAGTTTTTATTTCTAGTTTAAATTGTACTAAAAAGTGAAATTTTAAACCGGACAATAATTTTGGGAGAGAGAGTAGAATTTAATTGCAAACTTTTTAATCCAGTCTCTTTATAAAGTGGTATATATGTTTTGACATTTTCAATGTAGAGTGTATAATATTTTATTTCTAGGATAAAACCCAAAGAGAAATTAAAAAAAAATGGTTCCTCATGTAACCTCAAATTAAAATATAATTTTCTTGTCTTGTAAAAAAGAGAGTCTACTTTATATTAAATTCAAACAGTGTAATGAATTCTAGTATTTTTTTGAGACGGAAAGAGTAATTTAACAATTCTTTTCACAAGCGATAATCATTTGATATGAAAATCAAAAGTCATTCACTATTGACCTGCGTCGAGCTATCATAGCCCGGTTTCTAACCAACAATGTAAATCAACACTAGAAAAAGCAAGTTTTTCGCAAAACCATACTGAGTGAGTTCCACTCTTTCTTTATTACAAATACAAATACTAAAATAATTTGAACGAAGTGATTTTTTTTTTTTTTTTTTGGAAGAAAGACCTGTGTATTAGATAGGAAGACATAATCTATTATTACAAAGGACTTTGTGATAAGCTAGATTATGCATATCTATCACTTCCTCTGTCCCATAATTATTATCCCTCTCTTGTGCTTTTCCACTAAAGCCAAATCGAATAGCTTTCATTTCCACACCTCTAATTGAATTCTTAAAAAATATACTTTTTTCATTCTCAATAAAATTTATATTTCTCCAAACATTTTTCTGTATAATAATATTCTGATTTACAAACGAATTTACTCTGCATCTCTACAACGTTGTGGTATTCGTCAATGCAATGTCTTTTATTGTTGGTAAATTGATTTTTTCTTTATGATACACATTGTTAATTTTGATAAGAAACAAACGCGTGCATGATCAAATCCACTAAATGAACAAGTAACTATTTAGCCCAACCACAATTCGAAAAGAACCTGAAATGAGTAGCCCAAATAGAATGTAAATTCAACCCCTACAGTACAAGTTCACCGACCCTATTATCACTAACAGAATAGAACAAACTTAAATTGAAGTAACACTTGTTGGATTTTACCTCACACGACCATATTCATTCACTTGTTAATTGATGTTGGAATCATAGTTTTCAAAATCTCGATCCAAATCTTAGAATCCTACGATCATGCGATCCGAAATTAGGAAATCGATCATGAATCTTATGGAATCTTTCTTTTGTAGTGGGATCTTATAGAATCCTTCAAAATTCCAATTCAAATTGTAGGATCCTACGATCCAGTGATCCCATTAATTTTGTCGGTACTTGTACAAATTGTTGATTTCGTATAAAAAAAAAGAGGGGAAATGATTAAAAAAGATATAAAAGTTGAAATTTTGAGTTGGTGATACTTATGCGGGCAGTAATCTAATTCTCTTCTATAAAATTAAACAAGAATTTAACGAACAAATTGAAACTCGCAATTTCAGAATTATTATAATATTTTAAATGGCTTCCATTCCACCAATCCGATCCCACCGATCTGTAATCCGATCCGATCCTGAGACGCCAAAACGATGGCGAGTGAAATTTCGATTTTGAAAACATTGGTTGGAATATTACTAAGATGTGAGTTTATTTAATTTGATAAGACTCAATTTCCTTTCAATATTGTTATTTTTGCAGGTAATTGGATATTTATATATATCCGTCACCGAAATCGTATCACTTTTGTATTATCTCAATTTTCTTTCACTCACTGACTTAATGCATGTTACCGTCATCTCTCACCCTCCCTAGTCTACCCACAATTCAGCTAATATAAACCCATGAAAAAGTGATTATGCATGTTATTCTAGGTTGCATTTGGTATGAAAGGAGAGTTTTAAATTTTCACTGCAGAAGATTAATGCTAAAAATATTCTTCAAAAGTTTTGGCGCCATATTGCAAACATTTATTTTAGGCCTAACCTCTCAAAAATAAGTAAGTGATTGTACCAAATAGAATGGGCATTTCAACACCTTGACCCATTTCATTCCACTTTCCTTCGGCCCAAGCCCATTGAATTTATTATCGATTGTGCTAATCAATGATTAACGTGGTAATGATACTGTTACAAAATTTAGCTAATGAATGATTGGTATGTCAAATACAGTATCAAAATCGCTATATCATCTCTATCTTGAATTGTAACATGATATTATCATTAAGTGAAAGAAAAATTTAAAAGAAATTATGGGTCTCGAATTCGGATTAATCATATACGTGATATACAAAAAATGTGAAACATGAATGATAATAGATTGATCTTGAAAGTGATACTTCAAAAGTTGGACTTACTTGCAACCAAGTGAGTTAATGAGAAATGTTAAAATGGAAGATCCCATAATCACTCTAACTAATAATGGCCAATTATTTTAGATTTGTAATTCTAACATCTTACCAAGTGACCTTTTCCATGTTAGCAATGCACTGTTTTGAAGCTTTTTACACTTCTAATACTTTTATACGAAAATTGAAAATGAAAACAAAAATGATGTCTATCCATTCTTAAACTTTTGCATTAGGAGAAAAGGGATGACCCAAACAAAGAGAAAGAGATGAATGAAGATTAAAAAGAAAAGAACGTATTTCAACTAGTCATTGCCATTTCTTTCATTTCCCTACAAAATTTCCTCCACAATTCCTACAAAGAAGGATATTAGCATCTCTGTCCAGCTATTTTTATTTATACAAAAGTGAAAATTCCAGTGGAGATAAACATAGAAATGATAATAAATGTATTTTTTTTTTGATAAAATTTAATTTTTAATTTTTTCTGTTTAAAATAATTTCTCCTCTTTCTATCTGTGGCTACAGAAATCCAAAAGCTTCTTCCTACCTTCAACAATTTCATCAAAGAAATCATCAAGTTGCCCAACTATATTCTCAGCCCCTGATCTCAATACACCACAACAACACTTCAATTGGTCCACTCTTTCTCTGATGCTAACTTCTGATCTCCAATCCACTCTCTGGGAGCATCTCTTCTCCAGCTCATTCCTCAGTTCATCAATGGCTGCCTTTGATCTCCTAAATTCATACATCAAAATCCCAGGTCTTCCATTGATTTGGTTCATTTCTGCTGTGAGTTTTTCGTGCAATCTTGCTGTTGAAACCATGAAGGCTGATCCGAAGAACAAACATCCCTCGTATCCCCCTCCATTGTTAGATTCAGGCCAACAAAAGACCAGCCCATGAAGCAAGATCATCAGCAGAAGTGAACTCACATTTCTCATGGAAAACAGAACTCCCCTGAATCCATTGAATCCATTTAGCTTTGATTCAATGGAGATTCTCTCATCAAACCTTAATGCTTCTGTCTGAATTCTTGTCTCCAATAAAGCCCTGTTTTCTTCCTCTAATCCCACAGCTTCTCTTCTGCAAGCATTAATTGTTCTGAGTACCTAAACATCAAAAATCAGAAAACCGAAAATTTCAAGAAAAAGCCCAAAGATCATATTTTTTATTTCCATCCATAAACTAATGAATAAATGATTGGTTACCTGTCGATTGAGTTGTGGGCACAGATGCTTATGATTCTCAATCGATGAAGTTATGTTGTGAACTGCAGAGTAGTAATTCTCCAGGCCAGATATTCCAGATTTCAGGACATGACATATTTCCCAAAGCTTAGAACTTTCATCCATGTATTCATCCAGCCATTTTTCACCAACTGGTAAATGGAGTTTCTGAACCAGCAGAATCAAATGGGTATGGAATGATCTGAGAAGGGTCAAGACTTTCTGGAGAAAATGAACAGACATAAAATTGTTTGAAAGAAACCCTCTTTCAAGATCATCAATACCTCTGGTTAGGAAAGAGTAGAAGCCATTAACAGAGTTAAAGGAAGAGGAATCCATCATTAATGAAGAACAGGAGTAAAAGAAGGCAAAAAAAGGAGGGGGGAGGGAGGAAAAAAGGCTATGAATTAGAAGGTTATTTAAATGGTGGGAGAAAAGCTCAAGTTTCAAGGAATGCAAAAAGGGATTATTGTTGGGAGTAATGATGGGTGTTTCCTGTAAAGGAGAAAGGATGATTGGAAATCTGCCATATTTTGTTCATTGTTATATGAGCAAAAAGGAAGGTAAGCACAAGAAGTGAGAACTAAAGAGAAGGGGAAAATCTGCCTAACTAAAAGACGGGAAAAAGGAGTTGGGAAACACTCAACAAACATGAAATCTTCATGAGCTTATTTTGCTCCTCTGTTGGAACAGAATTGTCTCCAGTTTCGAACTGAATTGTCTCCATTTCTCTTTCGTGGCTCCATTCTGAGGTTTGGCTTTATCCACATAACAACACTTTGAAAGTTAAAGTTGGGATTTTTTTGTTGCCCAAAAAATTGACGTTAACTTATTAGTGTTTTCAGATTACTCCAATGTAAACCTTGCGTCATAGTTGGTTGTGATTTTAAATGGACTATGATGCAAAATTTGATACATCCATTTACAATACTCTCGCAATGGAACTTATAAATATAATATTTTTAACTGAAGTTGTACTAAAATTTGGGACAGTAACTTCATCGATACGTCGGCGAGAATAAGAGAGACGTAAAATTGTAGTCGCGATCGAGTTTCTGATTTCACATTTAGGACAATTGAGTACAATGACGTATAACAAATTCATTTAGTTACCAACCAGCACTTAGATCAGTTGGCAGGGTGCTGATCTAGCTTAAGCAAAGGTCTTGGGTTCGACACCCTGCATACGCAGCCGTATTAAAAAGGTTGGTTGGCAGTGGTTGCCTCCCGAAAAGGACCTACCCGCTTTGAGTCCGGACTAGTTAACGCTCAGTTGACACCCACGAGTGTAACGATAGTGGCTGGATATCGGATACGTATGTAAAAAAATAAACATAAAATCATTTAGTTGGATTGATCAATTGAGTTATTAGGGTTGTGAGAAGTTTGACTCAAAATTGTGACTAAGACTGTGCTCTCATCTCAAAGCAGTCAAAGCAAGTAGATAGTACTAGGAATAATGAATGGAATGATAGTATATACCGATATCTTCTCTTTTGGTTTTAGTGCTTTTTGGGTGCCCTCTTTCCTCTTTTTCTTCCTCGAGCAACTGACTAATTTGTTCCATTAACAAACCCCTCTACTCTCTCTATATTGAAAGTTGTGGGGATTTTTCAATTCGTTTTGTAGGGGTTTTTGGCCCCCCATAAGGGACTTCAAATGATGGCATTGTTTGTTGTTGTGTTTGTTCCTTTACCTTTCTGCAATGGGGAAAAATGTCAGTCTTTTAAGGCCATTCAAGACCACCCATGCTTTAAGTTATAAATTTCATGATGATGATGCTTCCTATACACCTTACAATCACCAATTTTGACGTGGTAATGAAGATGGATTGTAAATTTATTTTTCTTCTTTCTCAAAATTAAAACTTCGATTCTTAATTAGAATTGTTAAAAGAATGGTGCATACATGTAACCTAAAAAAAGAAGAAGAGATTAGATCGTCCCAACAAAGTTTCAAACACTGAGATCGTGATTTTTTTTAAAAAAAATAAAAAATAAAAAATAAAATTGAAACCAAGACTATAGATACTATACATGATTTCATTTATCTCTAGTGTATGATATTCCTATAAGTGATTCTGTGATTGTTCACCGTCTTAAGAGAGTGAATAAAAAAGAATGGATGAAATATTATATGTTAGGCTAATAAATATGACTCTTGTTTAGAATGAATCTGTCTCAAAATTAATGTGCAGTTTGAGATTTTATTTTTAGTACAATTTGAATTAAAAATAAAAAACCAAACTGGACAATAAGTATGGGACGAGGCTTGCTGATATTTGTGAAGGATCAAATTTTGTGTGTGAAAATATTTATCCTTGATTCATTTAATTTGAATACAGTAGGTGGGAAGTAATGATTGGGGGTGAGGCAAGAAATGTAAATTAATTAAATGTTGGGGTGGTGTTTAGGAGTAGTTTAATATTAATATTACCGTGCATTAAGAGGGGAGTGCGTTCGTGGGGTTTTGGAGATTGGGACAGTTTTTAAGAGGATGTTGGTCTTTTTTTAGATCTCATTGGCAATTGAAAATTTTTTTGGGAATTAATAATGGAGAGTGGTCCTTTAATTAAGGCCATTGAATTGAGCACCGTCTTCCTTCGATGCATGCACCAATGGGGCAATTAAATAGTACTCTCTCCGTCTCATAATTATTATCCAGTTTGAGTCTTTATTTTTAGTTGAAATTATACCAAAAGTGAAATCTGAAACTGGACAATAATTTTGGGACGGAAGGAGTACATTTTATTTGTCCCCATCTCCTATTCTTTTTTTCTCAAAATCGTGTGATACAATTGTAGTATTACATTCTCTATAGTAGGAGTAATTCGATAAATTATTAAGATGTTATTAAAATAGGAAAGATGAAGTGTGTACATGACAAACATAGAAAACGTGAAAAATGTCAAACGCGCAAGCAATACAATCTCAAGCTCATATCCGAGGTTGCTTTGTTGGAGTGTTTCCGAAACTCGCATTTTCTTATGGAAGATTGTTTTAAAGGGGTGATTTCGTCTTCGGGGAGGGGAGGGGGAGTGGTTTCCAGTTCCTGTATCATCTTCACCTGGAAGTGGTAAAAACATATTTTCACGATGATAAATCTGTTTATGGTTATGAGATTGAGTATTTGCTCCTATTTCCGACATCCGAACTCATAGCAGAATGCAAGTAAGTAATAATCTGACAAAGCCACCTGAGATTTATCTTCAAGTATCAATTGCTTCATTGATTATTAGACTCTACAATACAAAACGTACATCCGCAACCTGGCTTGTTTGCCTCAGTAGGCTAACTGACAAAATTTTCTCTTCACAATCTTAAGCTACAAACTAATAATACTTACTGGTGTATTAGTTCCTACTCAGAAGAGAAGTTAGATGTCTTCTCTGCAAGGGATCGGATGATTGTAACCAAATTCTTCCTCAGCTTGGCTTAACAATTCCTGGAAGGAAGGCTGGTTCAGGTAGCAATCGGAATCAGGTGTCTTTTCTTCTCGTTTTCTCATACATACACTGCCCAGTATCCCTTTGGAGTTTGGAACATCAAATGAATCAGTATTTCTTGAGGTTAAGGAATTAGCCCGCTTCAGGAGTTGCATAGATGGAATTACACAAGGCAGACGGATGGCCATTGTTTCTCTTTTCTTGATGATGAACAATATTTGGACAAAACAGTGTAGCTCTAGAAATTTAATGGTTTCGGAAGACTTGGTTTCAAACAAGTGGTAAGAATAGGTTTATATAGAAGAATCACAACTTAATAGTTATCGTTGTGCACAGCACATCTAGATTGGTTCACATGGTTTTGCCGTCAAACTAACAGTCAAGAATTTTGAACCATGCATTAATTCTCTGTTGATGACCCAAACTGCCTGAATTGGCCAGCAACCACAGCCTAATATCATGAGCTTTAGGCTATCTGCTAATGACAGGTCAGGCAACAAAACTCATTTCATAGTGCTTTGTTAATGACACAGTAAGACTTAAAATATCTCTTTCATGGAAATAAGGAATTAAGGGGATATCATTCTTGTTGGTTGATGGTTGAACATTTTGAGCCAAATTTTAGAGACAGATTATTGGGTAGTTGATGCATTCTTATCATGGATGTCAGAAAACCTTTTAGACATACTTAACATTATAAAAGAGCAAAGCAACTCACCAAGGTACAACAGTGGTAAAACAAGGTCTTATCTTTCTTGTAGCAGACAACAGAGTAGGTGATGGGGCTGATAAATATACAATGTGCAATATCGGACATATATAATTCAAGATAATATTCTTTTCCAACTGTGAGTTGTATGGATATTACTCTATTGAGACAGTCGACTGTTGTGTTATGAGTTTCAGAGCAAGCACTGAGCAAGCACTGTTTGTAGTTGTAGTAGAAAATTTACGCAGGTAAAGGGGTGAATAAGCATTTCTAATCACTTCCAACATTAGCTATTTTCGACCATAAGTATTTAACAATCAGAGACTAACTGGTTTGCACTTGCAGTCAAAGTTTTCAGCATAGTAGAACCTATCATTAGACAGAAATAACATTAAATACCTTTGATCAACAACGTGATTCTTTCCTGCTCTAAAGGAAGCTCAAAACATCAATCAGCCCAAGCATAGTTTGATAGTTCCCTTTTGATTTTTCAAAGGGTCAAGAAGCTTTGCCAACGAAAACCTAATGTCGTCAGCGTTCTCTTGCCAGAAACCACGGTGATTTCCCTGACAAGCCTTCCTTCCTCAACATCGAAGATGTAATACATGTCGGAAACAGGTGAAAGTATCACTACATCTCCTTTGCTAGACGACTTCTGGAAGACAAGAGGCGTACCTACTCCTTCAGGGTCTGGAAGTGGAATCTCCATTCTGAGGTTATACTGCTTTACCCAAATCCCTCTGCCATTGTTATTGTCAACCTCATTTCTAGACTCAGTAAGGGCCCATATTTCCAGAACAGAAGTCTCAATCATGCTCCTTACGTCTGTCACACATAGGGTACCTTTGATATCCACCAAATTGATCCTTGCATCATTCATCTCTTCAGGTTCTGATTCCAAACCAGGGGGAGGTGGAAAACTTTTCAGCTTCAACATCAAAACATAGGATGAACTCGTTGTTCCTTCTTGCATAATCAACAAACAATTCCTCATAATGACTAGACACAGATGTAGCGATTAGCCAATACATAGAGAGATAATACCTTCATCACCAAGTTAGGAGATGCCATTACTAGAGAAGTAAATTCAACCAGGCTCATGCCCTTTGCTTGTATCAATCGCAAACAAAGTTAATTGCTTCAACTGAGTTAATTGAGGAAGAGCTACACTTAAATCTCTAACCTGGAATGACCAAGCAAAAAAATGAGAATTGGAGACAGGATCAGTTCATATTCACTAACATATTACAACAATAAACAAAATTCAAGAGAAGTAGTTAAGACTAACCATGTGTCTCTAGGAGTACAGTATTCTTAATTAGGAAAGAAGCTCCAATTTCAAAATGCAGCAAGAAAGCCAACAAAATTCACTAGCGACCAAGTTTGCATTTGCATCTAACCCAAAACCACCAATTTCAACATCCACAGGCATAGGAACGTTCTGAAGCACCAAATTCTGACCTACGGTGGGTTTAAGTGAAACAATATTTGTATTACAAACAGTGAGGGAACAAGAAAGGATATAGCTAGACAAGAATTTCATTTGGGAGCTGACTAATCCGGTCAACTTGCTGCTCATTTTGTTACAAACTATTCAAGGAGGAAGAAATTAGAGAAGAAAAAGTAAACGCATTATGATTTGCCAACTGATTTAATTAGTAGTAGTAGTTTGTTGTAATAGCAGCATTCAAGATAATAAAAGATACCCGCAATGTGATTCTACCTTTTCGGGCATGTCACCTCTTTGGCCATCACCAAGATCTCCTTCTGTGATTACAAATTAATATGGCCAATTGTTAGACGAGGGACTCTCAGCCTCCATCTTTTAGAAATTCCTATTTTTGTTGCCTAACTGGATTTGGTGTATCAATATTACTTTTAGAAGCACCAAAAGCGCTCTTCGCAGTTTGCACTTGTAATTTAACAAATTTGTTACTTAACTCAATCCATTGTGTTAGCTATGGCCATAAAAACCATTAGGTATCTATCTTACATCTATGATTCACATCTTCCGCACCACAAAAAGAAGACCACTACCAGTGACCAAGAGAGATTAGTTAGAGCCCCCGGCGAACCGGTAAAACCGAACAAGTGAACCAAAATGCATACGGAACATAAAGTTCATTTACAAGAACTAGAGAATGATGTTCAAAAAGGAACCCGTACTACTTTGGTAAGCCATACAAACAAGAGTTCGGACACAACACAATCATCTGGTTTAATCCAGTCACAAACTCTAATTCAATACCCCAATGTCCATTAACGCTCCAATATTATTACTTCATCGAAGTTCCAGTCTCTAACCAGGTCCCTTCTAACAGCACGGCTTCGGACTAAGCGAGGAGGGCCAGTAACTAAATTACTCGAGACAGACGGTTGAGGCATTACTTTAGATGATGCAACACTATTACCAGGCCTTGGAAGTGAAAGAGCATTCTTGGTCAAGCAGTTGACAATTGCAGAACACCTTGCATCATTGTCCGAACTCGAAACTGAGTAACTTCTGAATGATTGTGATGGACTCTCTACACCACGGCATACAAGACATGCCAGAGTCATCCTAGTACTCGATTAGCCTCCAGAAGGGAGAAAGAATACCCTGTAATACAGAAGCCAAGTTAAGGACTTCAATCATGTAATTCCATAATTTCCCATAACAGAAATGATGAGTTTGAATGTATACAGTCAGAGACAGAAAAGTAGCTGAAAACATAATGAAAACATCGATCAACATGGGAAGGAAGAAACATCACTTCACACAAGGCACCACCGATGCGAACAGAAACATGTCAGACTGAGAGCAGAGGTCACAGAAATTGTAAGAGATTATATCATCCTCTTTCTTTCCCTTACTAAAGGAAAAATCACATTTTCAGTGACTTAAATTACTTCTTTCACTTAAAGAAAAACTACTTATTGATCTGATAAATGCTTTGGCGTAGCTCCCCACCACTTTTACACAACTGTCGGAACAACACAGCCAATATCCCCACGATGTAGGGTCAGCCATATCTAGGATCAGCTATACCCCCACAGGAATGCTTCATGCAAGAGATTATGGTCACCAACAAATCTAACAATAGTACTGAGCATCATGCATTAAGATTATGGCAATTAAATTGGGGAAGACGCCAAAGATTAACAGAGCAAACTCCAACAAATGCCTATGTTCTAGGGGAAATTTCTGAATAAAACCAATGCTGATACCAAGGATGATGATCTGTTTTACTGTGAACTCCTTTGATGCTATTGAAAGGAACAAATTCAAGTGATCTAGCAATAAATCGACTTGAAGTTAAGACATAGGAGTCCTTTCATCGCAGAAATACATCACTCTAGTACAACAAAACCAGATCCACTAGAACAAAGATCAATTCAGTAGCTTTTATGATCAATCGACACGACTTTATGTGGACTCTTGTGCCAGTATCAGGTGTGGGTACCTGGGCCTCAGATTATCTAATTTTCCAACTACCAAAAACAGGAACATGACGAAAAGTTAATCATAGTGAAGTGGATGCTAAGAATAATGTAATACATAGCTTAACTAATACTACCTGCATGTTTTGGCCTGCAAAGCCATACAAAGCTTAGCAGAACAATTACAAGTCTACAAGTTTCCACATTACTTTTAATAGGCAGAAGAGCTTCTTACATCAATGTAGGAAAAGATAATAAGGATAAACAAGTCATTGACAAAATGTATCAACACTGACGAAAATTTTTCATTGAAGTACTATGAAGCCTTTGAAAGAAATTTTCCCAAAAATAGGAAGTTGGTTGGGACCACAAGAAGCATGAAAAACACATGAAAAACACTCTGCTTTAGGCATATAAAGTGACACAGTCAGAACAAATAAACCTATCATAATCATTCATATAGTTATAACTTTATAGCCATATACGAGCAAAGTCAAATGCATTGAAATTTACATACTGATCACAGACTACAGTTGAAATCGACACAACATCAGTTACTTTACATCAACAACAAATTCTATTTGAAAAGTTTCGAATAACAAATAGCTAGAACATTAAAAGCAAGTCAGTAATGGTGAATTTAAACTGCTAGCAGAAAAAAACCAGTAGAAGTAGTTAAACTGTAAGGGAAAACCCATTAGAAATGCTTCACGCAGTTTCACAACAGAACTAAGTACGGGTAACATTTCCTCCAACAGACAAAAGGAACACCAGAAGGGATTACCATTTACAATCACAAGTTAGTTAGCTCTAGGTTGTCCAGCCAATTATAAAACCTCAGGTAAGATATGACGACGAACAATTAAAAGAATACAGGTACCTTTTTATAAGGAAAAAAAATTAAAAGAACAAAAAAGAAGAAAAACCTTCCAGAATGAAAACAAATATACCATGCGGAAAAGAATGAACTCTATGAGTCACCAAAGCATCATGTGAAGACAAAGCTTCTAAAACATGCAAGAATAAGCAATGAAAAAACATTAAAATTCTCTTTTCGCCCAAATTCCTTTCTTGCTGAAGTCAAAATTCCACAATTATGTCAACCAACTGTAACAAACAGAGAATGTAGTTTCTTTCCACAATGGAGAAAGGAATGATAGGAATTGCAAAATCTTCCTTAAATCTGACGATAATGCCAAAAGATAATACGGAGTCCGCCATTATTAGATGGATTATATAATAGCAACACGTATGAATATAACACATCCCGACTGCTTCTGTAACAAATGCTAGCCAGACACCTTTGTGTTGCCTACCTCAGAGATATCTTAACTTTTGAACTTAGTCCGCTAAAAAATATAATGGGCTCAGCTCTAAATGTTATCCCGTTAACCTAAAATGAGAGCAACTTCAAGCATAGTGAAACAATGAAGCTAAGATGATCCGCCCAATTATAATGCTGAACCTTAAGCACTCTTCAACCGTTATTTCCCAAATTACCAAAGTAAGACTTCCTTAATCTTCATATAGAACTCCAAAAAAAAACTTCCATACATGCACATAAATGATAACCCAAATCAAAGAATTGCAACACTAATCACAGCACATAAATAATAGACTAAAAGTTTCACAAATTTTAAAAGCTGAGATAGAATTGACCCAGAACCTATTTACAATATGGAAAAAGGAGGAACGAAAAATAATTATCTCTAAAGATGCAGAAAGACGAAGACAGCCACTTACCTCTCTGAGGGCGACTAAAATAGCGGAGCTTTGGGCAGAAACCGTGAATATTGAGATGTTCGTTCTGGAGAAAGCAAGAAAATCATCAAATTTTCAGAGATTCGGAGGTTTCTTCAATGACAGACCGCGACGAAATGACAGTTTTGAGTTTTGGGGAAAAGGAAAATCGGTTTGGTATCTGCTTTAATTATCTTGATCGTCCTTGAAGTTCGAAACAAATGTCAATTTCTTCTGTAATGTTCCATAAGTTTCAATTGAGTCCAATTCTTAAAAAACACAATTGAATTATGTGGATTCTCTGTCATCGTAAACCATCAGCAATCAGTAAATTTTTGCGTGTCTTTTGAAACACCTATTATATTCTTCACAAGTTTTGCGTCTACCGTATCATAATGTGTTCAAGCTCTTGGAAATATTGTTTAAATATGTCTTCCAATTGAGCTTTTCTCTAGTATACACATATTATAACTAGTGAAATGAGATACCGAACATATATTTGAGCTTGTTTAATCTTCTAGGCATAAAGTATATTGTGTTTTATTTTCAAGAGTCCTCGTCACATTTCGCTGGATACTTTCCTTGTTTTTAACTTATTTATATAAATTCTTCTCAAAATATAGAGAACTCATTGGTCAAAAGGAAAGAAATTGTACGCGTGAGGTTTTGGGTCTTTTCCCTAAAAAATTTAATTAAAATAAAGGTGGACAAATTTATATTTTTCAAAATATCTGAACATTACTATATCCTACGGATTTTCGAAATCCGAGTACTGATTAAAATTAAACATTCGGATTTCGGAAATCCGACTTTATGTTTAATATTAAAATAATAATTAAATAAATTTTGTGGAATAATAGTTTTTAAAAAATCAGAAAATGAACAGTGATGTTCGGATTTGCAAAATCCGAATGTCATTAAAAAATAATAAATTGAGGCGCGAAATTTTTGAACTCAAATAAGGAGTCCTAGACCTGGACTCTTTAAATAAACAGTAGTATTCGGATTTATAAAATTCGAGTTCCCAAATAGAAAAAAGAAAAAAAGAAAATTGAGATGCGGATTTTTTTAACTCAAATAAGGAGTCCAGAAGACTCCTGAAATAAACAGTAGTAATCGGATTTCTAAAATCTGAGTTCCCAAAAAGAAAAAAGAAAAAAAAATTGAGGCGCGAAATTTTTTAATCCAAAAAACCGGAATTCCGTAATCCGGTTCCACGTATTCGGATTTTTGAAATCCGAATACTTTTAATTTTGGTTGGTGGAAGTAGGCCTGTGCCATAAATTGGATGACCAAAAAATGAATTAAAAAATCCGAAATTGACAAAACTCGGATTCCTGAAATCCGTGTATGACACTTGGTTGAGATCCAGCACACGTGAAACTCCACCTTTCTTTGATTTCAATAGTCTCGGTGGTAGGCGTGTAGTGAAGATCAAGAATGATTCGTATATAGAGTTCATGAACCATGTAGATCCAATGTCATGTTTAGATTTATACATAGATTTGAAAGATATCACTCATGAAAAAAGAGAAGCGAGTTTGAAAAACGTGTCATTTGGTGATTTTCCAAGGGGGGAACGTGCTAGTACTTCTCGAAACCGTGATGAAGAGGAGACACCTTTATTTGCACAACATGACAACATGGAAGAGTCGGATCCCGACCACATAACTCCAAGCGAAAGCGAAGAAGACCGTGATGTCTTCGGAGAGAGTGATTTTGATGAAAGTGATGATGAAAGGTTGGAAAATAAGGAAAGGGATCTTAATCAATTGTCCCGAAGCCATGTATATAGTAAGATGGGGAAATGGGATGCCTCGTGTGTGGACAAGGATGAGTTTGCTTTTAAGATGTGGGATGAGACGCCCGAAGGAATGGAAATTGGTGTTTGTTTCAAATCCCAATCAGAAACAAAGCATTCTGTGAAATTATGGAACATCCATCATAAAAGGGAATATACGGTTGTTGTGAGTAGTCCAAAGACGTGGGCTGTGCGGTACAGAACATTAAATGTGGAAAGTGAGGATGGTGAACCACCATGTGAGTGGAAGATGCGTGTGTCTTTGAAAGATCACGACCTTCATGAAATTGTGAGATGGCATGATGCACATAATTGCATGACTCCCGTGAATGATAATGACAATCGGTGTGTTGACGCGTCTTTGATTGCTAGACTCATCAAGAGAAAGGTTGAGGACAATGTAGATTATATGGTAGGCTTGGCACAGAAGGATGTGAAGACCTTATTAAAAGTAGATGTGCCATACAAAAGGGCGTGGCACGGGAGAAGGAAAGCCATAGAAGTGGTCTATGGTGATTGGACCTCGAATTTCGACGAACTTCCTAGATAAATATCAACTTTTAAACGTATTGTTATGTGCATTATTTTTAGTTTTTTTTGGTTACGTGTATTGAAATATTTTAACTATGACTTGTTTGTTGTGTAGGTATATCGCTGCGCTTAAGTTTACTAATCCTGAGACTGTAGTAGAGTGGGATTGGAAGGAAGGAGAAGAAGGTTGGAACAAGGGAAATAGGACATTTAAATACGTCTTCTGGTCATTTACACCAGTGGCTGTGATATTTTTTGAATGGTCACCGGTCATTTGTATCGATGGAACCTTCTTGCATGGTGGATACAAGGATAAATTGCTTGTTGCGGTAGTCTATACCGAAAATAAGCACATTTTACCGGTTGCATTTGCGATTGTGGATGAGAAGACAGTAGAGAGTTGGACATTTTTATGAGGAATTTGAGGTTGTGGGTTTTGCAGAATAGAATCATAAGTGTGATATCCGACCGGAATGCAGGGTTGTTGAGCGCAATGTTGGCGTGATTTAGGAAATAGTGGCCACTTTCTTTGCCTCCGACACGTTCCCAGCAATCTTGTGTCGCGATATAATAGCAAAAAGGTGAAGCGGTTATGTTAGAAGATGGGGACGATACTTTGAAGAGTGAAATACAACCGTATGAGGGCAGAGTTTATTGAATTCAAACCTGCTGCATGAGACTATCTTCGAGGGATTGGAGGGAGTAATTGGGCTCGACTGAAAGCCGGTCTTCGCTGTTGGGGCATAGTGACAACCAACATTTCTGAGAGTTACAACAATGGGTTGAAAGGGATCCGGTTTTTACCAATTACAGTATTGATCGATGCAACCTTTCACAAAACTGTTAAATTCTACAGAGAAGAACAATTGTGTGCGAGAAATTGCATGACACCAATCCCTCCTGAGTTATAAAAAAATACGAAAAAATGAACGACAAAGCAGCTAGTTTTGATGCCCCCCCTTTTGATGGTAATGATGCTAGTGGCGGGTTGTTACTGCTACACGACTAAGTAGCAGGGATGGGTCTTTGCATACGGTGAATTATGATGAACATAGGTGTTCGCACAGGAAGTGGCAAGAGTACCGGATGCCTTGTATACACGCACTCCAAGTTTGTCAGAAAAAAATGGATCGACCTATTGATCTATACCATAATGTGTGGCGCCTTTCAACATAGCGCTGACAATTTGATTACACGGATTTTGTTCCAGTTCCCGATATGTAACAATGGCCGACGGTCAATTAGAATATCAATCTGAATTATGAGCGTCTTGTTTTGCTTGCGGGACCGGGTCGAAAATAAAAAAGGAGACATAGAATGCAAATGGATTACAAGGGACGCCGGAGCCTGGAGGAATGTTGGAGATGTGGACAACAAGGTCATGATGCCAATTCTTGTCCTAACGCGCACCCAGGAGTAGATAGAAGTCCTGTGAATAACAACTGTTTGCGCTAGAATTGATAGACATTTAGTGTTATTGCAAGTGATTTAGAATGACCATGTTATTTGGAATAACAACTGTTTAATTAGATGTCCTATAAATATTTGTATTGCTAAATTCGGATTGTAATGTTAACATTGAATTGTTCGAATTGTAATGTTAACATTAAATTGTTGGTGCTGTGATTGTGATGAAATAGATAGTAGTTGTTGATAACAGGTTTTGGGATTGTGCAAAAAATAAAAATGGACATTTTAAGGTTTTGTATAATGTTCGGATTTCAGAAATCCGAAACAGGCCAATTTCCTGCAGCAAAGGACTTGGATTTCCGAAATCCGAATATTTACAATTTGTACTATGTTCGGATTTCGGAATTCCGAATTGAGGAATTCCATCCGAAAGTGTGCAATTTGAGGAGAAACAGGGGAGAATCGGATTTCTGTGTTCCGGATTAAAAAACTCAGATTTCGAAAATCCGAGTTTGACGGGGACTATAAAACGCAAATCAACTCTTCCTCAATTCATTTTCTCCCGCCCCCAAATTGAAAAAACCCTAATCCGAAATTCTCCTCCCGGCCGGCGACGAAGTTCACCCATACACCGCTCCTTCCCCTCCGCTGCTCCCTGTCCGGCGACCAAATTCCTCCCTCCTCAGAAAACGTCTCTATCCGGCGACCAAATTCCTCCGTCTGACTCCTCCCAGTCCTCTAGCAGCTGCAGCAATCCACCACCCTCACTGCCGCCGACTCCTCCCAGTGTCACCGGCCCACTACTGCCCTTCTCTCCGTCACACCGTCAACGTCTTGTAAGTTTGAGCTCTCTTTAATTTTTTTTTTTTTTTTTCTGAAATCCGAATATGAAATTAGGTTAGTGCATGCAATTGTGTTAGTGAAACAAATATACAAGTTATTAGAAGATTGAACTCCCATTCAATTGCTTCTCTAATCCTTGAAAGCTTTAAATCTTCAAGGAATTTGTACACACAGTTGGTAAACTAGGCAAACAGTAAGCAATATGTAAGAATATCAGTGGGTAAGTAGGTCCCCGAATTCTTACTTCGATAATTGCTTTTAATTTTGTAACTAGACCCGAATGTGTAAGTAGACCCGAATGTGTATTATGATATGTATCATAATATTGTATATGATATGTGTAGTATTGCATATGATATGTGTCTTCCTTTGGTTTGGCCGAATATTGTGTTAGTGTATTGCTTGAAGATCTGCAACATATGATTTGCTTGATGATTATG